GCTGTCTTCTTTCGTCACAGGACATCTCCGATTGTCAGGGCCAACAACTCTGAGCTGAGCTTCCTGCTGCTCTTCTCCCTGACTCTATGTTTCTTATGTTCATTAACTTTCATTGGAGCACCCTCTGAGTGGTCCTGCATGCTGCGCCACACAGCGTTTGGGATCACCTTCGTCCTCTGTATCTCTTGTGTTCTTGGAAAAACTATAGTAGTGTTAATGGCCTTCAAAGCTACACTCCCAGGTAGTAAGGTCATGAAATGGTTTGGTCCTCCACAGCAAAGAATGACTGTAGTGTCATTCACGTTCATTCAAGTTTTAATATGTACTATTTGGTTGGTTGTTAGTCCTCCTTTTCCAATGAAAAATCTAACATTATACAAGGAGAGAATCATCCTGGAGTGTGCATTAGGCTCAGCTATTGGGTTCTGGGCTGTGCTCGGTTACATAAGCCTACTGGCTGTCCTTTGCTTTGTGTTGGCTGTCCTAGCCCGGAAACTACCTGATAATTTTAATGAAGCCAAGCTCATCACCTTCAGCATGCTGATATTCTGTGCAGTCTGGATTACTTTTATCCCAGCATATGTCAGCTCTCCTGGGAAATTTACTGTGGCTGTAGAAATATTTGCCATTCTGGCCTCCAGTTTTGGACTAATACTGTGTATATTTGCTCCAAAGTGTTTCATCATATTGTTTCAGCCAGAGAAGAACACCAAGAAACATTTAATGTACAAAAACCAATCCTAAAACATCTGAAGTTTTGAAATAGTTTAGATGGCAATACATAGCATAAAGCTTATGCTGTGCACATTTAACAGTCTTCAGAAAGTTGGGTTAAATATTTCCAAGGTTTTTCATGTTAATCATTTGCTGAATTTTAGTGTAGTTTTTATAATGTAATTTTAATGTTATTGTTTTATTTTACAATATTTTTATCATGTTCTAATTAAATTCTAAATCAATTATAATGATGCATTGTGCTGTGTTCTGATATTTGAATAATATTTATGTTTGACTAAAAAACTATTTAAAGTTTGATGCAGACTGAGGGAACTCAGAGCATATTACATACAGTATAAACAAAAGAAAGGCTGGTTATATTTATGTAAATGTTTTTGTAACAATGTTTGCAAGCTCCTATCAAGACACCAACATTAATTGAAGAGAATTGTTTATGTGAGGGCAGGCCAACATGATGGTAGACCAGCAAAAGTGTGACCCTATACCTATAGTAAAGAGCAAAGGCAAGGGTCTGTGTCAAGTGCTTATGCGAGACTTCTTGGGATTCTCTGGGTGGGGTCCTGAAGACTGTGCTGCCTGGGGATTCAATATTTCTAATGGGGGACTTCAATGCTCACATGGGAGAATGGCGGAGAAACCTGGAGGATCTATGACTGGGGAGAATAACGTGCCAAATCTGAACAGATTTGGTGTCTTGTAATCGGACTTCTGTGCTAGTCAAAGATTGTCCATAACAAACATCATGTTTAAGCATAAGTTTGTTCCTTTATATTCCTGGTACCAGTACACCAGGCCAAAATTAATGAATTTTGTAGTCATTTCATCAGCTCTGCATATGTATGTCTTTGATCTGGTGCACTATAACAGCAGACAGGAAAAGCTGAAGGACATGGCTAGGCAGAAGGACATAAGAAGAAAAAAAACTAATATTTTTTGACATTTGAAATTAATATTTGATGACATTTGGTATAGTTATACACAGTGGGGTTAATGGGCCCCCTGAATTCTTTTGTTTTACATCTTGACAGTGATGTTTTGATAAGTGATGTTTTATGACTTTGTTGAACTTCATATGCCTGTTCTTTAATATAAATAAGAAGAAGTAACCTTCTCAAAGTTTCAGAAAATTGTGTCTTCATGAAATGTGAATTCTTCACCTTTCACTCTTTAAACTGCATTCTGAATCTTTGTCGTTCCATCAGGGAGCCACAGCCAGTTCATTCCATTGTATATCTGTAAGGCATGGCCATTTACATCAAATGACACTTGATCCCGACTTTAGGTGAGAGAAATTAAACAACATAAGGAATGTAACAGACGCCATCCAAATATATACCCGATCACCTATAGCTATCAATTATTTTTTGGTTCTATTATTATAAAGTATTCTTCAGCTTTCCCAAAATTACCCAACTTGTTCTCACTCTCAAGTAATCACACATGAACGTTTGGTCAAGACCCCTTGTCATCACTTTTTAACCCACCTGGTACCCCTTTAGCATAATTTTTTAACACTGCAAACATTATATGACAGATCAATATCTGGTTAATTAGTATAAAGAGTGACAAAGTTCACAAAAATAGGACTGGTGGATAAACAAACTGAGAACTTTCACTCTTGAGAGCAGTGTTTGTTTCCGGTGTGAAACTAAGTCAACACAGATTTCTTTTTAAGTGAAGATAAGCTATGTAACGTAAGTAAACTACTGGTATACCTAAGTACAGGTATTACTTCAGGTACGTAATTTATGTAACTAAGTAAAGTTATGCTACTTAGTTATTGTACATATTTTAACCCAAACCACAATGTTTCCCTAAACCAAAAGTTTTGGTGCCTAAACCTAACCAAACTAAATATTTACTGCTTCCTCTATATCAGGGAGTAGTAATAAAAAATAATTCTCAGCTTTTTAAGACTTATTTGATTATTTGAAGTTGTTCAGATCATAGAGCAGCTGATCTAAGGGAACTCACAGGAGGATAGTTTTTTTTTTCATAGTGGAACAATACTTATAATCTTGTGATTAATTTAAAACAGGTTTAAACTGCAAAAAACATCCTACTAAAGCATAAACGAATGTGAACAGGGTCACTACATGATGCAGTCCATTGAAAATACTTAGACAAGGACCACTGGGTAAGGGCATCCTCTCTCTGATGTATCCTAAGCTGACGTAGGAGGGAAGTTTTGTTTAAAAATCTATATAAACTAGAGAAGACACACACACACACACACACACACAGTATACCCACATACAGACACTTGAGGGATGGAGATCTCAGCTCTCTTTATTGGCCTGATCCTGTCTCTGGGTTTGTGTGAGCTGAACTCATTTCTTGCCTTGAATGGTTCTGGAGATGGTCTAAAACAAAAGACTGGTTTTACAGATGACAGGACTGGTGCTGGAGTTACAACTGAGGCCACATCTGTGAATTGTAAACTCCAGGGTTCCGCTCGTCTGCCTGCATTCTCAATGGATGGGGACTACGTTATTGGGGGTGTTTTCTCCATACATAACTACATGCATACAGTGAAGCATAACTTCACCACCATGCCTGAGCCATTAAAGTGCACAGGGAGGTTAGTAAGAAGAAGTGGGGGATAAGATGATGTTAGACTGTGTGGGGATAGAAATGTTTTGATTTATATGAGTGGTTACAATCCTGTTGCAAAGCTTTTATGTGGTATTGAAGAAAAACCTATTTTTTAACATTGAGTGTAAAATCATTAGTTGGCCATATAAATTAAATATTATAATGTGACTATTTAAAACTATGTTTCTTAACTGAAAATACTGGCGTATTTATACAACAGTTTTCACAGGATAAAACCAATTAAATCTTTAAATCACTATACTTAATCCCTGCATTAAGTATTTGGAATTTTGGTGGCAGTGCAGTTTATCAGTTACCCTCCATAATTTTTTTTTCCCGAAATGGTTATTATGTGTTATTGTGGTTTCTCTGGTAAAGTTATTATGTAAATTTGAACAGTGACACTAATGTTTGTGTGCAGCATTGACTCCCGTGAACTGCGCTTCTCCCGCGCAATGGTCTTCGCCATCGAGGAGATAAACAACAACACGGAGCTGCTGCCAGGCATCAAGCTCGGTTATCAGATCCATGATTCGTGCGCCTCAGTGCCCGTAGCGGTGCATGTGGCATTCCAGCTTTCAAACGGCCTTGACCCTGTGTTTTACACCGGCGATAATTGCTCTCAATTTGGTATGGTGATGGCTGTCGTTGCTGAGTCTGGGTCTACGCCATCCATCAGCATGTCGCGCGTCATCGGGCCCTTCAACATTCCTCAAGTAATTTTTTAAAATTTCTGTCAAATGATGTGTGTAGAATGATATTGCCCCAAGTAGCCTAGTCATTTAAAAAGTATATACAACCACTCTTGTCTGTAAGTGTCTGTATTTGGTAGGCTACACAAACCGTTAACAGCCAGCCGCATAAATAACATAAACCGAAATGCGAGATTGTTGTCTGCCAACTGAGACGGAGTATTAGGGCCATGTTAGAAAAAAAATTATACCCTAATCTGAGATTTCAAGATTTCAATCATAATATTATGAGGCACAATATATAATAGGCTGATTTGAGTCATATGTGCATGTTTTAGTATTTCTTGGCAGCCCAGTTATTTAGACTTGTAAAAGTTTGGACTGCAGTGTGGCGTCTTCCCTCTGATCGGTGGCTCTGTATCGCTGTTGTCTGTGCGTCTCCCTCGCTCTGTTTAGGACTCCCTCACTGCTCCAGGATGCTTCATGCAATTGATGTGATGTTAAACTTTTTCTGGATTTGTGTTGTTTTATGCCTGATCAGAAGTATTTTCAGTTGGTTTTGGTTTTTCACCTACGATGAGGAGCATCGCAATTGTCTCAGTGCGCGCAGTGTCTGGGATATGTCTGTGAAACGGTCGGAATGGGATAGGCTATCATCAGAGCGGACATGTAGGCTAATGCACAGCACATTTAAATTGGTTACAAACTAACAAAATAGGAGTGAAGACTAAATCATACCTATATGTGTAAATACAGCAGGATTATATTAAATGAGATGAATTGAACTACAGGAGAATACATGTTTGAAACCAATGCAGAATCCCTCAGAGTCATTATATTCCAATATAATTTTATATTTTGAATTATCACCAGCCACCTGAATTTTGTGTTGAACCTTTTATAAATTATGGCACTCCTACTGTAAAATGATACAGAAGAGGCAGAAACTGGTAGAGAAAAAATAACCAGAAAGAAAAAAATTAAGTGTTTAATGCTTTGTGGGAGGATCCCCATACCCCATGCTTGATATGTGTCCCTTTTAATGTTGAAGTAAAACTCTTGGTGTTGATATAGGCCAGTGCTCATTTTCTGTTCCTTAAAAAGCAACAACTCTGTTTTCCTTTAGGTGAGCCACTTTGCCACTTGTGCATGCCTGTCCGATAAGCGACAGTACCCGAGTTTCTTCAGAACAATCCCTAGTGACCAGTTCCAGGCTGAAGCGCTGGCCAAACTTGTAAAATACTTTGGCTGGACTTGGATAGGTGCTGTCCGCTCAGATTCAGACTATGGAAATAATGGCATGGCATCTTTCCTTCACGCAGCGCAGAAAGAGGGGATCTGTGTGGAATATTCAGAGTCTTTCTATCGGACCCACCCACGTAGCAGGATCCAGAGAGTGGCTGACGTTATCCGCAGGTTTCTACATCACTTGTTCCCTGTGCTGACACCGACTGACTATATCATATAATGCTTTTATAACGTTTATTTCTCATATGTTTATTAATGATATTGTTACAAAAGCAAAATCAGTGAGACCAATACTGTAGAGACCAATACTGTTCATTCACACCAAAAAGTATAGTATCTCTTATGGGGGTTTTTTTTGTGTTAACTATCTTGATGAAAATATTATTTTCATTTTTATACTGGTATAACATAATGCACTCTAATGTCTCTCCAGGTCGACAGCTATGGTTGTTGTGGCATTTGTAGCTTCTGGAGACATGAGGATCCTGCTGGAGGAGCTGTCGCGTGAGCCTTCTCCACCTCGCCAGTGGATAGGCAGTGAATCTTGGGTAACTGACTCAGACATGCTGAGGTTCAGCTTCTGTGCTGGAGCCATCGGATTTGGCATTGAGAAATCTGTCATCCCAGGTCTGAGAGAGTTCTTGCTGGATCTCTCTCCCACTAAAGTGGCTGCCTCTCCAGTGCTTACTGAGTTTTGGGAGGATGCATTCAACTGCAGGCTGGAAAAAAGTGAGAAAGCTTTGTTGATTTTTAATATAGGTGATACTTTCAGTTGTGCCCTTGAAATTGTGTTGTTCTGTAAACTGTCAGTAACAGTTGGTTCTAATTAGGCTATTATTGCACAGTAATATCAAATTATTTATTTATTTCAAACACATTGAAACAAGCATTTTTTGTCTTATAAGTGTGACCATTGTGTGAAGATTGATTTGTAGTTTCTATAAGGCACATTTGGCAGTTGAAATAAAACAAATAAAGCAAGAAAGAATAATATTTTAAACCATTAACAAGGCTAAAAAGCACACGCCTCTGTCTCTGTGTGTTTTTAGGTACAGCTATAGAAAAGAGAGTATGTGATGGAACTGAAGACATACAGATGCTCCAGAGCCAGTACACCGACACATCTCAGCTCAGAATAACTAACATGGTGTACAAGGCTGTTTATGCAATAGCACATGCCATTCATAATGCTGTGTGTCAGGACACAAATTCTACAACTCTGTGTGACAAATTCACAAGTATAGAGTCCAAACAGGTTGCTATGATATGCCTTTTATGAAATGAATTTTTTTTTACATTCTTTCCTTTCTCTCTTTCATGGTCTTCCTTCATCCTCACAGGTTCTTACTCAGCTGAAGAAAGTAAATTTTTCCCAGAATGGTTATGATGTGTCGTTTGATGCCAATGGAGATCCTGTGGCCAGATACGAGCTGGTTAACTGGCAAAAAAGTGAAAGTGGAAGAATTGTGTTGGTGACAGCAGGACACTACGATGCGTCACTGCCAGTGGGCCAAGAGTTCCGTATCAACAGGAACCTCATCTGGGTGGAGGGCCGGACACAAGTAAGGACCCCACAAGCTATATTTTACATAATCAACTTTCAAATTTGGTGATCTTAAAGGGGACCATATGTGTGCATTAAATGAGTTACAGTTCAAAGCTATTATTAACAGAATTAATGGTACAGTGTCAAATAACACTTTCAATACACATTTTGACATTTAAGTATTGTTTGGATGACAGATTTGGAAATATGTGAACCTATATTTTAGTCCTAAGGGCTGCGTAGCACACCTGAATATGTGTGAGTTTGTTTGTATCTATGTGCCAGGTCCCTGTGTCAGTGTGCACTGATAGCTGTCCTCCAGGAACTCGTAAAGTGCTGCAGAAAGGAAAGCCCGTCTGCTGTTATGATTGTATACCGTGTCCTGAAGGAGAGATTAGTAATGCTACAGGTAATTTTCTTTTTCCAAATATATATATGTGTGTGTAGCCCACCTTTCCCTATCTTAAGCAGGGTGGGGCCCTGAGTTCTTAAATCAAACTAACTGAATACTTGAAACAAGGTTCCTTTTATCTTTGGTCTCTATACACTTTAATTGTCTTCGCTTTCTGTATTTATCTCAAATGATTTGCAACACCACTGTCACTAAGCTAGGTTCATCTAACATCTATTAGCTCTGTAAAGTCACACGGAACCTACATTAGAGTAACTAGCATGCTGCAATAAAATAAATGTACCACCTTGTCAACAAACACAGACATTTACCTTATGTGTTGAATATACCTTTGGTAAAAGTAATAACAATGCAGCACATCAGGGTTAGTTTAGAAATAATAAATCCCCATTTTACTTTGGCAATTTTAACATAAACAATAAAATAAATATATTTTCAGTCTCTTTGGAATATCCCTTTTCTTGAATACCAGGGTAACACAATAATATTAATACCCTGTTACTGGTGTAAACACACTATAACAACTTTTCAGTTACCTTCAGTTCAAATTCAACTCTAATGTTAACTCAGTGGGTCCACATTCACCAAGCACGCACACGCACACACACAAGCCGGCATATAAAATAAATTAAAACCCCAAACTTCGTTGCAGGCCTGTTGCGATGCTTGAGAGCGACGAAATTTAAACTATTGGTCCACTTCACTCAATGGAGCAACAGAATGAAAGAGTTTTTACCTTAGGCAACAGTTCAATCCACTGTGCAGAGTTCAACAGTCTTTCCCGGTCTCCAGCAAAACAAGGGCAAGCAAAGATGGCGTGGTCTGTCCCGCGCTCTGCCGCTGTCGTCTCTCGGTCTCTGGTGTCGAACAGGGGTGCGAGCATGTGTCCAAACTGGCGTGGTCGGTGTCCCTCCTTCTAAAGAACTCAGAGCTTTGACAACGCAGTTGTAGCTTTCAGATAACTCTTCAGGATTTTCACGTCGAAACCCATGAACTAGTGCAATAGTATACAGCTGAGTTAGCTATACTGGCTAAGAGTCCATTCACTTTGCTAATGAATGCTAACACAAAACACTGTGTGCAGACGAGCTATGATACACACGTGAATAACTGTACGATACATTTCGGTAAGAAATGTCTAACTTCTCACAAAAGTACACAGGATGGTATTCTGTGGTAAGACTGTCGAGTGGGCAGTCTAAAACACCAACTTACTGCTTTGCATGAACTTCACACACTTCGCATCGTTCGTAGTCAAGCTCCCACTGTTTTTTTTTTCTACATTCTTACTCTCTCTTCCTGTGCACCTCTGAACCCCCCACATCTTACATACCACTTCCTCTTTACTAGACAGAACTCTTCAAAATAAAACACTCATAACTGCACATATTACTAACGTATTTATTACACTGTAGCTTTTTAATCTTTTATGAAATAGCTTGTAAACCACAATTTTAACAACAATGAATTTGTTTTTAACTAGATCACATGCTTTATATGCTTTTTATCAGTTAAACACAATGTATAGCATTTTAACTCGGCTACATATATATACAACATCAAAAGTAAAACCGCTAAAAAACCTTTTTGATTTTTTTTCTCAGATTCCCCTGATTGCTTCTCTTGCTCCAAGGACTTTTGGCCTAATGCAGAACGAGACACCTGTCTTTCCAAGCCTGTAGAGTTTCTGTCATTCGACGAGGTCCTTGGAATGATCCTGGCTGCGTTCTCAGTTGGTGGTGCCTGCCTTGCCATTGTAACAGCAGCTGTCTTCTTTCGTCACAGGACATCTCCGATTGTCAGGGCCAATAACTCTGAGCTGAGCTTCCTGCTGCTCTTCTCCCTGACTCTATGTTTCTTATGTTCATTAACTTTCATTGGAGCACCCTCTGAGTGGTCCTGCATTCTGCGCCACACAGCGTTTGGGATCATCTTTGTACTCTGCATCTCTTGTGTTCTCGCAAAAACTATAGTAGTGTTAATGGCCTTCAAAGCTACACTCCCAGGTAGTAACATCATGAAATGGTTTGGTCCTCTACAGCAAAGAATGACTGTAGTGTCATTCACGTTCATTCAAGTTTTAATATGTACTATTTGGTTGGTTGTTAGTCCTCCTTTTCCAATGAAAAATCTAACATTATACAAGGAGAGAATCATCCTGGAGTGTGCATTAGGCTCAGCTATTGGGTTCTGGGCTGTGCTCGGTTACATAGGCCTACTGGCTGTCCTTTGCTTTGTGTTGGCTGTCCTAGCCCGGAAACTACCTGATAATTTTAATGAAGCCAAGCTCATCACCTTCAGCATGCTGATATTCTGTGCAGTCTGGATTACCTTTATCCCAGCATATGTCAGCTCTCCTGGGAAATTTACTGTGGCTGTGGAGATATTTGCCATTCTGGCCTCCAGTTTTGGACTAATACTGTGTATATTTGCTCCAAAGTGTTTCATCATATTGTTTCAGCCAGAGAAGAACACCAAGAAGCATTTAATGAACAAAAATAAATCCTAAGACATCTGAAGTTTTGCAAAAATTAAGATGGAAATATACAGTATAGAGCTTATGCTGTGCACATTGAACAGTCTTTTTTCCACAGTAAAGAATTTTCTTTATTTTTGTGTTTTTGGGATGTCCTTTTAATATGTTATTGTCTTATTTTCAAATTATTGTATCATGTGCTGAATAAATTCTAAATTCATAACTGGGTTCTGTCTCTATATTTTGAGAAAATCATTGCGGTTTGAATAATATTTCTCTTGGACTAAAACTCTGTTTAAATGGTTGCAAGTTTTAAGCAAAATGTTTGGAGGTCATAGCATATTACATACAAATCAAAAGAAAAGCTGGTTCTACTGACATAGTTTTGCAACAATGTTTGCTAACTCCTGTCACGTCACCAAAATAAATCTTCATAAGATGTGAACTGCAGCAAATGTAAAATATGAGAACTGATTTAATTGTTTACTTTCCAACATAATGTAATTAATTTTACTAATAATAACTCTCAATTAAGAACACATTTGATTTGTAGGAAGTGATATTTCTTACACTTAAAGTGTGACGGGGTATATACCCTAACCCCTATCTCATTTACATTTACTATAGTCAATGATAACTATTTTTAGTAGGATTTATAAGCATAAGCACTTTTACAGAAAAATTGTTTATGTAATGGTAGGCCAACATGATGGTATGCCAGCAAAATGTGACCATATATCCTTCAATAAGAGCAACGGTAACAGTCTATCACAGGTTTATAGTGCAGTACTATAGTGCATTACTGAAACAGGCCATTCAGGGCCTAAAGCGAGCTTTAAGGCATCTTTGGGACATATTTCTGCAGCCACATGAGAAAGAGATGAGCGTTTAAGAGGGTTGTGGCTGTGTTGTTATCAGTTCTAAAAAGGTCAGTGGTACTTTTTCCTTTGGTTTTAGAGATCCTGTGAGTTCAGCTACCCTTTAGTGGTATCTTGTTTTTGGACTGTTGTGCTAGTCATGGATTGCCCATAACATACACCATGCTCAAGCATAAGGAGGTGGTTCATCTGTGTGTTTGGTACCGGAACATCTTAGCCGAAAGGTTGATGATTGACGTTGCAGCTGTATGTCTTGGATCAGGAAGAGCTGGAAGATGTGGCAAGGCAAAAGGACATATAGGTTACTGTTGGGAGACGGGACAGAAATGACCCAAACGCAACGCTCAGAGGGAAGGAGGTTTTATTGAGGGAGGGGGCTAGGGAAGAGGTGAGGGAGGAGAGGTGGATGCCGGGGACGCGGGCACGGAGGACCAAGGAGCAGGTGAGGCGCAGGTGGTGAGGCGAGGAGCGGGGAGGAGCCCAGCAGACAGAACGGATGACGAGGGTGAGTGAACCTGGGAGGGAAAACAGACAGAATGACAGGGTTAGTGACTGGAGCGACAAAGTACAGGGAAAATGAGAGAAAACAAGAAACATGAGAGTCTGAATGTAGAGGTGGCACCAGGTATGGAGCAACGACGATCAAGCGAGGATAGTGTGGAGAACCGGGGTTAAAATACAGGCAGGGATGAGGTTGATTACTGGCAGGTGTGGCAGGCTGACGAGGTGCAGGTGCGGGTAGTTGGCTGGGCTCAGGAGCCAAGGGAGAGAGGAGGAGAACACAGGGAGGCAGGCAGAGCAAAACAATGGGTGAAATAAATCAAGAAAAAAAAAGGGAAACCAGGATACTCGCAGTCAGCTGGGCTGTCCCAAAAACAGTTTTTTTCCCAAGCCTGCTGCCACCACTGCCATTCAACATGCAGTATAGCGCTAATGCTGTGAACACAGACTTCACCAAGTCCAGTTGCCCTTGACTTTAACCTTCGTTGGATAACTATGACCTGGATGATTGAGAATCTTCACAGACAGACTTCACAATGTTGATTAAAATCACCTCAACCACTACCAATGTGTAGCACCCACCTGGGTGATGCACGGCAGCCATTTAGCACCATTTCAGCAGGGTTTACATTGGTATGGTTGCCGGCACTGCTGGATGCAGGGAGGAGTGAAAAATAGTTATCTGGGTGCTTTATCTAACTTTATGCTTTCTGTAACCTAGGTGTTGTTTTTGAGTCTGAGTTGTTTATTTGATGCTTAGATCCCTAAAGTGGTGGAGTCCAGCTTTGTGCAGCTGAGACATTAAACCAAGATCAGGTCATTCCTTTAATCTGCAGATCTAGAAAAGGGTATCCGTGCTTTTATCTCCTCCAGACTTGATGATTATCATGCACCTAATTATGGTATCAGCAGGCGAAACGAAAAAGGCTGCAACTTTTATGCGATGCTACTGACAGTCAAGAAAAATTAACCACATCACACCAATGCTTGCTGCCCCTCACTGATTCCTATCAGTTTCAGAACAGATTTTAAGATTTCACTGCTTCTTTTTAAAGCTGTAGATGATCTGGTATCTGTCTATATATGTGATCTGCTATGTGATTATGGGCTAATAAGCACATCATTGTTCACTGGACGTTAGTTTTATTTAGCCAATGCTTTATCCAAAGCAACATATAGGTACTGTAGTACACCAACTTTATCAAATATGTTGAACTACTTAAAGTGCTACATTTAGAAACAGTAACAGAGATTACTTTAATACACAAGTCAGTGACTGAATAATCTCATATTTCTTAATTAGATAATCTTTCTTATCTGGAGGGCAAATTATCCTTTATTGGGGATGGTAGACCAAAAACAACATTAGCAATGCACAGCTGTAAATCAGACATAAGCATTGATGCAAATATAACACGCACACTAGCTTTACTATATGATGTCCAATAGGTGGTAGCAGTATACAAGGCCATTTTCTGATGTTTCAAATTTTGGGAAGGGTAAAAAACATTCATACAAAATGACATTTTAGCTATAGCAGGATTTGTTTTCAACATTATCAAAATATCAAGATTAATTTCTATTAGCATTTAATATTTCCTCTTTATGTTATTGTTTGATCTAAGAGTCAGTATAAAATCTGTGTACAGTCTAAAATGTAATTATTCAAAATGATTTTATTTGTTCCCAGGAACTGAAACCTCATACTTCTGGCAACTACATTTTTGTCATACTGTAATTTAAATATTCCATAGTAACATGGAGTTGTTCCAGTTTTAGCTTTTAGGATTTTATTATTCCTAGGCCTAATCACACAAAGTGGCACTAACAAATCAAAACCTCTTTAATTTCCTTTGTGTGTTTATTATGACAGGGAGGAGGGAAAGAGCATGACTTCCTCTTTTCTGTCCCTTTACTTTTTGATTGTGATTGGTTGTTCTGGTGATGACTCATATGACTTATGAAATGAAGCAAGCATTAAAGTTTTTAAATTGTCTACTTCATTAGCCTTTCAGAGACTATGTTGGAGAGCCATTGTCTCCAGCATACACACAGTCTTTATGGGGTCAATGTGCATACTGCATTCAACCCTTGTATGGGCTTCAACTTGGCTGATTCTTTGGGCATTACTTAACCTTCTTTTTCCAGTGTTCTGTGATGTTCCTAAACGTGTAAATGAAAGCAAAGAACTAAGTTTAGATCGAGGTGTGTTGAAAGAAGAACAGACTATAACAGAAAAACAGAGTGGTTTGGGAATAGAGGGAGTGAGCGGCTCTGCTTCTAGCTTACCTCAGTGTGTGAAATTGGCAGACAGTGAGCCTCTAGCCCTGCAGTCGGAAGGGGATGTTGTGATTGGGGGGTTATTCCCTCTGCACTATGTGGCCCCTACTATACAGCACAGCTAC